TTAGCTGACTGAAATTGTTCATTTTCTCTTCGACTCTACCTTCAACTCTTCTGTGTTTCTACTACTGTTCATCCAAATTGGTAGCCAAAACACAGCCACCAAAACCTGCGCACAAAATGTTTTGGCGCTAATTAATGTTAGAACTGAAACTGTATACTGAATCATTCTTTTCGTACTCATGTATGGACAATCAACCCTGTGATGAAACTCTTGATCATGATTGATTGGATGAAAATTACCGGAGGTTGATGAAACTGCTGCAGTAAAGTGGATTCATGATTCGTAACAACGAAACCGGGAAGCACGCACTACCCAGAAGGGATGCGCACTATCTGATCCGGCTGTCGATTTGCTGACCACGAAATTCGGTCTTTTTCATTCTGACTAGCTGTCACTGCATAGTCGTGTTATTGTGATGAATCAGGAAACATTTTCACCTATCCTGGGTGACCGACTAGTCTTTGGTTTCAACCGAGGATGCGATGAGATATCTGCAGGTTCCGATCTCGTCGGACTTTGGGAAAATCAAAGCTGTCGGATAGCGAAAGAGAGTCATTGTCGTTGTCGTTTCTCTATTTTGTCTCACCCAACCGCACGTCTCTTGCGCATTTTATAGTGCTATTTTTTCTAAAAGCCATTTGCTTTAGCTTGTTTTATTCTCATGCCTTGGAATGCACAATCTGTATGTTTCATCGATTCATTCACGCTTACCACGGGTATAGCGGCAAAGCAAATTTTGTCTCGCTCACACTCCGTCTGTTCCGTTTCGTATTCACCATTGGCTTATCAGGTAGTCGTATCGGTCGTCAACCAAACGCGGTGAAATTTCATTGTGCAATTGAGATTCGCCAACTACGGTCTCTCCGAGGGAGTTATGCTTGCACTCTAGACACTTCCGGCGGACATCCCGGTACCCCCGGTCCAGCCACATCGACCGGTCTGAACGCGTACACTCCGTTCGGAGTGGATGTGGGAGGTCAGGCAATGGACTCGACCACCAATCCAGGCTCGACACACAATCGAAGTGATGTTGAAAGTCCGAAATACAGTCCGGACACTCTGACACCGACCTATGCGAGCAAGCGGGATTCGAATGTGTGGTCGAATGAGCACAAACCACCGCTATCTTTATTACTGTTCCTACCACGAGTTGCCGACCCCATCGATGTCACTTCCTCATGCAGTACCCTGGGCGACAATGGGACGATTACAGTCAGTGGGGATAGTGGCGTGCATGGGACAATCGGACAATCCGGTACCTATATGAGTTCGGAATTGTCCAAATCGTCTCAGTTCTCTCCATCCGGTGGCTACAATCCGATAGTCTCGGGCAGCGTTTGTGATCGACTAAATGTGGACAGACAATCGTCCTCGTTGAGTCTCGGTACCGATTCGATCTGTTGTTACAGTGGGAATCATCAGTCCAATCGGGAAAATCATTTGGCCAAAACGGAGGATGAAGATTTCTCAGTGAGTGTGACTTCTGATTGCTTTTGTCCATCGTTCTCAACATGTTTCAGTCGAGTCCGGTTAGTGCTCCGTTTCAGTTTCACAAATCCGATTCAGTCCGATTGAGTTCTAGATTGTGGTGACATTTTTCAGTGATTATGATTGATTAATTTTGAATTCAATGGGAAAACTGTCTAGTGTTGGAACAGTGGCAATTTTTCCAGCCGTTGAACACAATCTGTCACTCACACACCCACTATCACCATCATTCATATCCTAGAATATACACATACACACACACACTGTGATGACTTATCAAATTGCTGTTTGTCCAGTTGAAGCTGCATTGAGCTCGGCAGTGATTATGCACAGCTGTTTCGTCTGGGTTCGTATCCCTTTACGTTGCTAGCCGAACGCAGATACGAGCACGAACAAAGCTTGGGTACCAGTTCCTCACACATTGCCTCTGGCCGACTCTGATCAGGTGGTTTTGAATCAACACTATTATTGCCACACAAGAGCGATGTCGTTTCAACGGATTTTCTACGACTGTGACAGTACGTTCATGTTGTGATTGCGGCGTTTTCCCAGACGGTACTTATGCTACTCTAGTGTGGTTAGTGGTAACAGTGATTTCACTTTCGATACTGTCATTTGCATGATAAATAGCTGAAATGAGGTGACCGCACGCATACCCATTGCTCGAATGATATACCTGAGACTAAAACCCCGTGGTTTCACCGCAGTGGTTTTTATGTTCTTTAAAGTTTATTGATCGGGTATACTGTGTCTCCGTGTGATCAGTTCAGTTCAATTTATATATATATATAATAATAATAATAATTATATATACATTATGTACCAAATATATTACGGTCCAATAACCTTTATCAAACGAAAAAATGTCCATGACTTCCATTTGTTTGGAATTCCACCAGTGCAGGTGACTTTTTTCGCGAGCTCACAATCGGCGCTTTTGACTAACCAAAGTTTGGCCGGCAGGGTAATACGGTGTGGGCGTGGGACAACCACAATCCATTTGGATCCGGTGGCCAGATCATCGGATCATACACTCTTTAGACGGGTGAAGTGTCCAAGGGGCTCAATTAACCTCGATACTCGATTTATATTTCACGCCTGTCTGAGGCCAGACTGTGTGCCAAACAAATCATGGTACAATAATCTTTATGAAAAAAGAAAGACGTTCCATGATTTGCATGGTGGTGGAATACTATCACGTTGCCCAGGTCAAGGCAGGTGAGTTCTCTTGAGGAATCTACAACCGGAGCCTTAGGGTAACCAAAGCCTGGCCCGCAAGGCAGCGGGGCGGTATATGAAAATCGCAATCCATTGGGGTCCGGTGTCCAGTTCATCGGATCATATGCCCTTTAGACGGGGTCAAACGTCCAAGGAACCCAATACACCTTAATGCCCAATTGAGCCGGTGACCACTGCCACAACCAGGAAGTGTGTGGTTCGTACGCCTCCTCTTGTTTGGTTTTGAATCAGGGTTTTTAGCCAACTCCCCTAGTTGAACTGCCCGTGGTCCACCAACCCGGTTGTAGCCCGGATATCGACTTTTCGTCCTCTCACTTTTGTGGGAAAACACCTCCGCTTCACGAGAAGGCAGTGAGTAGGGCTTCCTCAGCATAATTGGCTATTTGAGACGCTTGGTCTTATTGGGAGCATTTTTCGAGGTGCAAGGGAATGATGACCAGCCGCAACCCTAGACACCCACCTCCGACTAAACTGAGGCTTTCGGAGGTTTCCTGGCCCGCAAAAAAGCCGAATGGGGAAAATGCGCCTGGCCCGGTTAGGTGTTAATGGTTGTACAAACTGAAAACTGAACAGAGATCTAGTCAGTCTCATTCTGTTTGATATTCTTTCTTTGCCATTCACTGCTTCATGCAAATTGGCTGGTTATTTTTATTTATTTCTGGCAATGGAATAGTTTTCCTTGACTTGGGTGGGATATACTCCACAATGGTATAGTTTGCCTTCATTCTCACTTCAAATCACGAGCGTTATGTACTCGAACTCCCAGGTTCGATTGCTCTCAGCTATCCTGGTCCCCTGGGGGGGGGGTATTTGTGTAATGCATTGTGTTTGAGAATGGTTGATCGATTACCGATGAATTATTGGCGCACATGAACATGTATACATACATATATTGTCATTGTGTGGATGATAATGGATTCAGCTGTTTACCAATGTTCCAATTTTCCTACAAAATCATTAGTGGCATATTTGATACAGACTGATTGACGGTGAGGTTTCTACTTTCAGCCTTCTACAATTTTCTCGTCAGGCATGGAGGGGGTGGGTGGAAGGTTTTCCATTGTTCTTCTGAGCTTAGGCCTTTCACGGGGATGTTTTGTACAATCAACGAATAAAGCTGTTCGGAGTATCCGGATTTTGTCTAGTCGCCGGCAGTAGCACGTATTTAAACCTTAAGAATAATAATTTGATTCAGTTACTGTTTTTCACGCGAACCAATTCGAGATCACACATACGCACACACAGTGCTATTTTCTTCATAACTGTGCAAATCGGATGGCTGATCGTCCTGTGCCATTTTTTTGCGGGTAGTTCCCTATTGTTTCTTCCCTCATCCGGATCGTTTTGTCAGAATTGACTGTCGGTCATTGCTTGGCTAGGCTTTCAACAGGACATTGAGTATGCTCGATCATCGCTCCTTCGTCGTCACACACACACACACACACCATTGACTTCAAACAAACTGTTTCTTCTCTTTGTTCGCGCACAAACCTGGTTGATAACGTTGAATACATTGACTCTGCTGAGCCGATTATTCCACTATACTTTTCCGTTCACAGACTGGTCAACCCGTCGTCATCACAGCGGGAAACAGTAAACCGTTTCCCCTTATTCATTCATTTCCTTGTTCAAAATATCTGAGATTCTATTGCTTGTCGAACTGGTTTCATCCCGACCCTGGTTCATCGGTTAACTGGTCAATTTTCGTTCTAAACTAAATCCGAACTTGAACTCAACAGAACAGCCTGGGATCACAGAATCAATTGTTTCGGTCTCGTTGGGTCTCGACAGTCGGATGAATGTTTCGTTGACCGGTCTGAGAACGCCAGAATGTTACCGATTTGCTAGCCTTTTGACAACTAAGCCTAAACACAATATAACAAGTTTTCTTTGCAAACATTCAGTTTGTTATGTGGTCGCAGCTGGATAAAACTATCCATGCGTATGTGTTGTCCTGTTTTCACTCATTACTAGCCTTGACATTAGATTTCTTACTATTTTTGCTGTTTCATCACATCGCATACACCCGGGGACAGCCAAAACCGAATCGGATTCGTTCTGGTTTTCTGTCTGCTGCACAATTTCATTTCATTCGACCCGCTTTGTCTTGATCCTCGTTGATTGTCGTTGACCTGCCGAACGGTTTTTGTGCTCACTCGACTACCTCCTCCACCCTTCCACCGAGGTTGTTGTTTGCGTGTTTGTTATGGATAAGTGTGTATGTCACCCCCCATCATTGTGTCGTGCTCCAAACGGACATTATTCTTGCGGTCTGATCGTACTACTGCTCGTTTGGTTCGTGATAGGTGCTCCCTCTCAGTTTATGTTTTTTTTCCGGTGTGTGTTTGTCAGAGTCGAGCATGGAAACTATCGTTTTCTTTTTGCGATCTATGCATGGCATTGCTCACCTGCTTGCTATCATCGCCATTCGCCAAAACTCTAGATAGATGGTGGTCACATAGTCGTCCTGAATAGCGGGCGGGTCTACTACTACTAGCAATGGTAATGATGATGATGATCACGGATAGGTACGACCCCTCACGTACACCGTCTTCCTCCTCCTGTCAAATATGATTACGATCACCATTCGCTTTGTTTTCTCTATTCAGATTCGGTTGGGGGCGGGTGGTGGTGGTGGTGGAGTGCTAGTAGTGGCCTGTTTGAGTTGATTGCTCATCGAACAGAACACGACGAACGTGAATCTATCGTACTGTCACTTGATAGAGTTTACTGTGATGTTGAGTTAGACAGTGGACATATTGGAAGTTGGCGGTCGGCCTATCCACTAAAGTTGCAATGCGGGGCCCGGAGGTGGATGGATGGTACTCTGTGGATCGTAAATCCTTCGCATGGTGTTGGTGGTCCAGAACAGGTAGTATCCATTTGTTGTTGTGTCTACGGCCAACCAGGAACTTGGAAACGGTAGGCTGTTTTAGTTGTACGGTTAACAGAAATGTATGCCA